AACCCTGGTTGCTGTTGACCCTCTGCAAAAAGTACGAAACTTCGTGTGGGTCCGATCTGGAAAGTCCAACCTGCTTGAAAACCAAAGATCCGCTACCAAATAGCCATGAAGCTAAGGGCAATGTACACCCCCCAGTTCGGGGGGGGGGGAGCCTGGCAGAAAGGAATCGAATAACAAGTGGTCTATAAATGACCACCTGGTTGACCACGGCCATCTTGGGAACCCCCGATTTACACCCTCCCTCCAATCAAGATGACGAGAGGTACTATGAATGAAGGGTTGACCACGGCAATCTTGGAGGGAACCCCCTATTTTCCCCCTATTTACCAGAGGTTTTTGGAAAGGCGAACGCTTTGCAGAAAGATCGGTGGGAATGACTCCCTCGGCCTCAGGCTTCCAAGGCTCAGCTGCAGCTAGTGCCCGGATAAGCCTGCGGCAAGTGGTCCCATGGCTTGGGTGCCGCGTCCCTTTGTGGCTGGTGTTAAATTAAAGGGAAACCAACAGGAAGCCAACATTTGCTTTGTTTTTGTGTTATCCTTTTTTTGTTTGTTTTTGTTTTTGTCTTATCCTGTCTTCTTCTTTTTTTGGGGGGGCGGGAGGGGGTCCCCTGAAAAAAGGCACACCAACTTCAAACACACACTGATCTCCATTGCGCCCTCTTTTCGAGGCCACAAGCAGCGTCTGAAGGCATTCCCGAATCGATTCGGAGAAGAATGTCTCTGCCTTTTCAAGAGCGTTTTCAGGCATGGGTTTTGGAGTTGAGGCGGTATATATACTTATGTAAGGGGTATACTTATTGCCTGACAAGCTTATGTTGGTGATATGCAAACCTCCATACCTCCCAAGACCATGCCTCAAGACTCCCTTGACCTTGAAACTCAAACCCCCTCAAGTGGCAAAGGGGAGGACATCCACAAAAGGCTCAGCGCAAGAGCATGAGCCATCGTGACGCCCAAGAGTGGAGGGGTGGCTCCGCGTGGATTGATTAGATTGTGTCCAATTCTAAAGTGTATCCTTCACTTAGTTCAACCGGTGAACACACTATGAGCAATGAATCGAAAAGAACAAGGTCAGAAAGGTGTTTGGCTGGAGGACACATCCCAACTCAAACACGGCAGAAAAGGATCCTCTGATATCCAGTGGACAATGAAGAATAATAATAGTGTGTTGCGTTTGTTCCCCAAAGAAGAAAACATCTCGGGAGGGGTTCCCTTTAGGAACCTAACTCACGAGGATGCACTGGCTATTGGTCTTTTGTCCTCTGGGGGCCTCTTGTCAAGCGGGTCATTCAGTTCTATCCCCGTACCACGGGCAAGCCTCACTTCACAAGCCCAGGGTTGTCTTTGTTGCAATACAAGCCGGTTGAGCCCTCACCCGGCGCAACACTACAGAATGCAATAAGTAAAGCACATACCAAGCACAGCCCTTATACATGAACACGTGTAAACTAACCAGGCGATCTGGCCTGAGAAAGAGGGGCACGAGAAACACCAGTTGTGCAAAGGGAAGCCCTGTCAATGCCTTGAAACAATCTGACTGAACTGCCCCAAACGTGGCATGTTAGTAAAACTCTTTCTTTGCAGCCCACCATTCAGAATGAACAGGACAACAGCCAAAACGCATGTCACAAACAGTGAAGAATTCAACACGGCCTTGTCATCCTTTTAGAAACGATAAACAACCAACAAGAAGTTCATCTCCTTCTTTACGTTTGTTGGACTGCTTGTGATGCAAAATGGGAACCCAAGATACACCTGGCTGCTCCGAGGGATGTGCGTGGGCTGGTCACAACCCAAAAAGGGTCGTGCACGGACTTTGCCATCCCACCCCACTGACCTCTTGGTGGCTTGGTGTGCTGGTTTGAGTCGGAAAGCTTCCCTTTTACAAAAAACAGGGGCTCAAATCCCAAACCAGTTGGGAAGCCATTCAAAAGCCATCCAATCTACCTTGGGGGAAGCTGAGCTGAGCCCTGCCTCACATCTGGAGGCCCGGACCTGACGCCGTGCCCCTAATTCAAACTTACAACCGGATCATCGACGTCTAAGCCATGGGGCAAAGGGTGCTATAATGTGCTATAGACACACCCGAATCGCCTCGCATGAAAGACTTAAAGCTCGGTTCCGTGTTTTTTTTGACAAGGGCAACTGTAAGAGAAAGATAATGCATGCAATGCCTTGGGCTGGAACTCTGTCCCACGGAAGCAGTTGCCCGCACCCTTCTGCGTCAACTTTCCGAAGCGGAACAGCAACACTGAGTGAATCAAAAGCCTAAAGCAAGAGACGCCCAAGAAATTAACCCTCACCATGTCATGTGTGAGGTATCTTGAAGGCTTTCTTGGGTTAGCCCTCATTTATCTGCCCTTAGGAGCGTGGGCCCAGCCCCCACCACCAAGCCAGCCAGCCAACCCACCCATCCACCTACCCACCTCCCCACCTCCCCACCTACCCACCTTCCCACCTCCCCACCTTCCCACCTACCCACCTACCAACCCACCCACCCACCCCACCCACCCACCCACCCCACCCACCCACCCACCCACCCACCCACCAACCCACCCACCCACCCACCCACCCACCCACCCCGCCCGCCCGCCCGCCCGCCCGCCCGCCCACCCCACCCACCCACCCACCCCACCCGCCCGCCCGCCCCACCGCCCGCCCGCCCCCGCCACCCGCCCGCCCGCCCGCCCGCCCACGCGCCCGCCCGCCCACCCACCCACCCGCCCGCCCGCCCGCCCCAGCAACCAACGACCTGGGGCTGCCGGCTGCTTCCCGAGTGCTGCTTCCAGCACAGCTCGCTGCTTTTCCCGTACCTCACTCGCAGGGGTGTCCCCGTCGACTGGGACGCTGATGGGTGGCACCGGCTACGCGCGCACACATTAGTAGGACGGGTTACTTCAGGGTTCCTCAGCAACCCAGTGGCCCCGCTAGTAGGCTATTCTACCATTATCAAAGTCACTCGCCAACCATCTGCCAGAAAACAAACGTCGCACCCAGGCTCAATCGACACGATCTGCAACAAAAACAAGCATGCCAGCAAACCATGCAAGAACTCAAGGAAGCTGCAACCTTGACAGTTACCGTGCACCTTGCCGTTTGCCTTCTCGCCCTATCTAACCGATTGTCTTATGCCGCGAGGCTGGGGAACATCTGGAGGGGAACCTGATGTTGTCAAACCTGTTGTGAGTTCATCACTTTTTAATGATCAACTTGGTCCTCGCCTGCCTTTAAACCGGCCTTCACATAGAATCATATGGAACCAACACAAACGCCACTGCATTCAACGGAGACTCTTTGCGTTTGCGAAAGGTGCCACCAGTCACGGTCATCACTTTAACACTCAACAGGGCACAACTAAACCCTCATCTGCACCTGGCACCTGTTGTTCATGCTCCTCGCTTTGGCATGAGCATTGCTTGTTTCCGAGCGCATCCCGGGCAAGCCGCAAAAGTGGTAACCTAATGTCCCCTGCAGCTTCCAATGGGACTCTCGTACCCTCACTTCCTCAGTTTGTGGATGTTAAACTTGTTTGGGAATATCTTGTTCGGACCACGATGTTGAGCCAACACGTTTTGGAGGGGTCACCCGTTTATGCTTCAAAGCGCAGGCTAACATTCCTGTGGGTTGCTGGGTGTGAAATTGGGGGATCTGGAAACGTTTAGCACACAAATCCATCACCTATCCCCTGTTGGTTTCGTCTTGGAAAGAATTAATAACTTGCTGGTGCGATAAGCAAAGAAACAGGGAATGAACCCAGGGGTGCCCTGAAAGGAAACTGCAAGGCATGGCTTCTATTGTCTCATCCCGTTTCGCATTCCCTGCCTATCGCACCGGCGAATACTCCAAGGGTTCCTTCTCCATTCTTTCCAGGGATCCTTCTTTTCAAAAAGCCTCACTAGACCCAGAAGAAAAAAAAAGGAGAGACAAAAAACGGATCCGGTGTTTGAAAAGAACGATGGTTGAAAAGAATGGAAAAGGAACCCTAGAAATATTCTCACTCCTTGAGTTCCTGGACTGTTGAGACACTCTCTCTCTCCGAGTTTCTGGGCTTTAAGCTTTGAGTCTCTGATAGAACTACGAGTCGTGGACCCGTTTTCCCTATCCCGGATCGACGGAGGGGTTTCCGTCGTCCGCCTGGCGCGGAGGCGCGTCGAGCTCCTCTCCAAGCCTCGGGTGTCCGCGGCTTTCCGCGTCCCCGGCAGTGAGGTATCAGCTCCCCGTTGAAAAATCGGTTTGGAGCCGAATTCGTGGGTTGGAGGTTCGGGTTTCCATGGGTTTCCCATCCAAAAGCCAAAGGATCCAAAGCTTCAAATCCAAATGCTTAATGCAATGCCACGAGGCGACACCTAAAGGTGCATTCAGTGAACCGAGCAGTCTGAACAGTTGCGACTCATGTAGAGGAAGCTGAGTGCAGACTTGCTGCAATGCCGGTAAGCACCCAAGTACGCCACCCCCGGCCCACCCCCGACAAAACACAAAGCAAGAACAAGCGATGTCCTCAACTCCCAGTAAATCCAACACCTGAAGCAAGAATTGAATTCCACACGTGGAGGACCTACATCACAGTAAGACTTTTTAACCCTCAACTCACCAATAGACAGAATCTTGCAAAGCAGGGTGCATGCACATCCTGCGTCACCCCACCCCTTGGCATGCAACATGTCCTTGGCTTCAAATTAACCAAGCTTATAAAATACCAGATGTCAAGAGAATCTGATTCGGCCATTTTCTGATCATGGCGGGTCCAGGCATCAATGCCCGAGGAAGCAACGCCGACAGAAAGTGCAAAAAGCAACTGCGGAATGCCGTGGCAAACTGGAAAACAGGTGCCCCCTCCGTGTCATCTCCATACGGCTTTCTCCTACCTACACTCTCCATGACCCTTAAAAAATGGGTCCAGGAATCTTGGGTAATGACCCCATTTTTTGAGGGTCATGGAGACTCCAGGTAGCCCAAGTCGTCATACTTTAGGGTCCTTCACAGCTCGGGTGACTGTTGACT